GTTTGGGTTTATCTCTGGGTTGCACCTTAGTGCTGTGTTCTCCTCTCCAGAAATGTTAGTGCACATAACTACTGCTCTGGGGAACAGAGAAAACAGCTCTTGGGTCAGTGTCTCACTGCAAATTGATGGCTGAGGTGGCATCAGTGCCACTAATGACAGAGACTTTCCTTGTTGGCTTCTGTCCCTTGACTTAAGCTTTGAGATTCTCCTGATGAAGGACGTGTACTAGTCGTTAACTGTTCCAGCTGTGCTGTGATTTGGGCTCTGCTGGGAGGAAAATTCAACAGCTGCATTGCTGCTCCTGTGCTGCAGAGTTTTGTGAGTGACTGGATCTGCAGAAGGGACAATGCCATGTCTTTCCAGCAATGCAGATTTCAGTCCAGCTTGCCTTTATTTTCCATAAAGTCTAGTAAAGCTGAGTGGGATGATAGCAAAGCAGAATGGCTAAGTACTGTCTTTGAAAGCTAAGTGGTATCAGGTGGTAGAGGAGGAAGAAATGAAGATCAAGGAAGGGAGAAATGTAGAAAATTAGGAATTAAAAGCAGCAGCCTGAGTTGTCATTAACACAAGAATCTCTCTCTTTTTTGGAAATGTTGAGTTACAGTTTTGGAGGTGGGAAAGGAAAAAGTGGAAACAGCTGGTCTGGGGTTAGGAGGAGACTGAAGCTGGTGTGTTTTGGCTTCAGAATACTGTACAATGCTCCTTGAATGTGTTCTATAACTCTGTATGTTTATAGCTTTTGCTCAAAAAATTAGCAAGGGTTGAAAAGAATGAAGGAAGAAAACAAATGCTTCTGTTTTTATAGGCTATGTATTGGACTGAAAAACATCTGTTAATCTTTTTCTGTAAAGAAAAGTTAATGTTTTGTGGCCAGCACACAGCCATGGTAATCCAGAAGAACTGGTTTCTCCACATGGCTCTGCCACAGTTTCTTTTAGGAGACCTCAGGCAATCCTTGTACTGGTCCTTAGTGCAGGAGTCAGGCAGTTTTGTGTTTATTAGGACTGAAGAAAGCATAGGAGGAGCCCTAAGAGCAAGTCCTAACCCTCTGATGTGTTTGTTTCCCCCTACCCACTCCCACCCAGCAATCCATCGAATCACACCACACTGTGTGCTTTTTGCCTGTCTACTGCACCTTGATTAGGCAAAGTTCACGTCTGAGCAGGATGGATGACAAGTACCCACTCCCCTGCCACAGAACATCCAGCTTGAGGTCCTGGCAGTCAACAGGGAAGGGAAAG